TTTGCGTTTTCTTGACGGATTTCTCCGCTTTTTTCGCCACTGGCGTACCACTGAGCACCTCCAGGTATCCTTAAGCTCTTCTTCAAAGCGAGAGATTGCTATAAGTTGAATGTGCAGCGTGGAAGTACATGCACCAGTGGAAGCAGTAGTCAGGGGCCCAAGGAAGCGAAATGTTGCGTTTTTGTGGTCAAAGGTGCGCTAGTTGCAGCGTACAAGGCTTGCCATTCCTTTCTGAGCTCCGCCACGGTCTGTGCTCCGCCCCCAGCAGCAGCGCCCTTCGATTATCATTTTGACGAGGTATTCCGCTTTGAGTGCGTATCCTATAACTTTCATGGAATGCGTTACCAATCAAAGCATGGCCTTTGCTGGTATGATGGTGGCTATAACATGTGCAAAAGACCTCTTATTGGTTGCTAGCTCGTCCATTATCGGAGGTCAACGGGCAAAGAAAGGGGTCCCATTTTGCGCGTTCTTGACGGATTTCTTTGCTTTTTTCGCCACTGGGGCATTATTCAGCATCTCCACTTCCACTATGAACCCAATCCAATCCTATCGTAATCCCTCGCTTTAATCTATCGTAATCGCTGCCTTCTATCTCTCACTGGAGAGGGTATATACTAAAGAACTTCCAATATCGTTCTTCAGCGGAAGTTAAGAAAGACAGTGTTCTTGAAAAGAAGCCGTCTCGAACACCGAGTCTCTTTTGCAAGGGAAGTCTGACCAAGCCCTTCTTTTGTGACGATTTGCCTTTTTCGAAGTCCAATAGTTGCTTTCCTTTCCTGATAACCTAAGAAAGAACAATTGAGGACTGCCAATCAGTTTCATCGAGCAGAAATGAAATGCAACGAAGAAACACGGGGTGGCTGTATCATTTGGAGACGATGGAAAAGCGACCCTTTCTGGAAAAATTGGATAAAATTTTTTCGCATTTTCAACCTGGTTTTGTGTTGATTTTCGAATTCGCGAAAAAAATTTGACACAGTTTTCCTGTTGGACATTTTTCCAGAAACTTCGTGATTTCAGGATTTTGAACAATTTTCTAGGTGGCTGTATCATTGAGGAGACGCAGTGTATATTCATGTTCATATATATATATATACATATATCAAACTTTTGAACTTTTTTCATGACATCTCGACACTGAACAAGAAACAAGAAAATTTGTGCTGGATAAAAACGGATCCACACTTTGACATCATATGCATAAGCGAATCGCATGCTACGACATTACACCACAACTCAGCAGTACAAGTCCAATTTTATAGATAAAAAATAAGCTCGATCATCACAAGGAAAATGTCCTTCGAGGAGTGATGTGGAAAACATAGTTATCATGTTGTTCCATAAGTAGCGTCGTTTTTTTCCGAATAGAAACATTCCTACCAAAATTCCACTTTTTTACACTGCTCATTTTGCACTGCTCAAATGACTTATCTGCAATAAAGGCTTAGCTCCCACATTTTACAAGGGTTATAAATGGTAGCTTTGTGGAATGGAAGGTCAGCAGACAAAAACCTCCCAGACCGAGAAAGAAATTCTATCTTTGTCCTCGCTTTAATCAACAGTGATGTACCATCTAAACCTCTTTTAACCTCTTTTAAACATTCTGCTGTGAGGATTTTTGACAAATGTCGTTCCTTTTCGGATTTAGCTGTTCTTGTCGTGGTTCGGGAGCGGTTGCCCTCCTAACCCTCCAACACGACGCATCGAGGTGGTTCGGGGCCCCCGTGGCCTTTCCCAGGCACACGTCGTTCTACGGGTCCTTCCCGGGATCATGCGGTTTCCCGCACGCATGACCTCCGCACCCCGGGGCCTTAGGGTTCCTAACCCAGGAACGGGGGGTTTACACTGGGCCATGCCCCGCGGTAACAACCCCAACACTCGCAGCACATGATGACCTACTGGACTTATATTGTGTTAGCGATAACATCGTTCGACGTCCTACAACTCAACTTCGCCGAGCGTGCACAAGCTCGGCCAACGCTTGTAGTCGTCCTCGTAATTAGCGGTAACAGCGGTAATCGGCCTGCAGCCGATAGTGTCCCTCGGGTGTAGCGGGACACTAACTTACCAGCGCTCCGAGCGAACGGGACAGCATGCCCGAACATGCTGACGGGTGCTAGCAGGCACCCCTAGCCGTTCGCCTTCCTCGCGTTGCCCGACGACCGTCTCTCCCGGAGGAGACGAAGAGCGCCGACTGGCAGAGGCGACCCTTTATATAGGCCTCGGCTGGAGGCGTGGCCGGAGGCGGAGCACGCGCCCTCGCCGGTGCGTGCGCCGCCAGCGCGACCAACGATGCCAGGCGCCCACGACCGTCGGCGCGAACCGCAACAGTTCCCCAGAACTGGATAGTTGCGCAATTGTTCGTCAGACTTGGGCCTTGAAATTTCCATGGCTGAGGCATTGACATGTTATAAACAAGTCGCGACCAAATACGAATTGCATGCCTGACTGATGTTTTCATATTGAAGGGAGAAAATCTCGATGTAATGTTGCTATTCTCGTGCACTAGAAGCCTTATCACGTAGGCCTGAAATTCGATCCAGCTCGTACGAAATTAGAAACAAAAACATGACCGAATAGAGCAGAACAAAAGCTCAAGAATGATACATCACTCTACATAATACAATGGGGTTTGAAAAGGGAAAATTTTAGTTGATTAACCACTATGGGTTAGCGGTCACTAGAAGTCGCAACAGTAAGTGATAAGTAGTGAGTAATCACTAATCGGCTTGTCCTAAGGAAATGGCGTTAGAGCTACTCACCGGTCCGACTGACAAGTGGAACTCCCATTATGCTGGGCTCGCAATGAACGTTGAATAGAAATGTACTACACGTAGATGAGATCGGAAATGATTTGCAACATGGGCATTGCAGACAGCTTCAGTTCAAAAAAAAAACGACGTACTTATGAGAAAACGTGATATTCATGAAACGATATGGAGTTGATGCTAATATTCACCTCATTGGACCCTTCTGCATGACAACGAACTGGTGCGACTATACGAAGTACCGCGTTATTTCTGTCCACTGGCGAAACTTTGTGCATAAATTTCCACGCATTAATACCCGTTTGACGCCGTTTTTTCCTACCGACAGAAACTTCACTGGAAGGACGAAGTTTCGCTTTGAGAGTCGTAGTGAACTTGAACTTTTCCAATGTCCTAAAGGCCTATTATTGAGAAACTCAATTGAGAAGCAGACATAAAGCATTTCACAGGAGTTATTTAGGGCATGGCCGACGGCCGTTCTACCTTGTACTATAGATCCAGTGCCTTCATAAAAGGCGCACACAAATTTTGTATTTCCCAGGCGAGCAGCTAATCGGGAATTTTTCTCGTATAATCAGTGCTTAAAGTATGCTTTATGTTTCACAAGAATGCTGGGTTGTGAACAAAACTTTCGCCCCAGGCGGGACTAGAACCCGCACCTCTCGCTTTCCGGGCAAGTGCGCTACCAGTTACGCTACCGGGGCACCATTTCATCCCAACTCAGCTTTTCATGGTATACGTACCATAGCTTTCAGCACTCACACGTCTAACGTGTTGTTTTGTTTGTTAACTGCTGTTTTAACGCCGCAGTCGCAACGCGAACTGCGGCGTTAAAACAGCAGTTAACAAACAAAACAAGTCAAAATTCACTGCTTTCTACTCTTTTGTTGGTCCCAACCAGAGGTTAGTTGCAGGACAGTCTTATAAAAATGTCGCGGAGATTTTCCATCATAGTCGCCGTAAGCTGACATGTCCAGAACCTGAGATATGATGTGCAGCCGTCGAGTAACTTGCATGGAAACCAGCATTGTTCTGTAAAAATACGTCGTTTGAACGACGTAATCGGCTACAAGGTGACTGACTACCTCTATGGGCTTTATGGTGATCGTTTACTCTATTATTCAAATCAGGAAAAAGTTGCGGCACTGCATTATTACGGAAGCTACCCACATTTTCACATCTGTCCTAGAACTTCGACTGAAATAAATCGGCCACCCTTGCAAGTCACGGCAAGTGTTCATTTGAACAGAGACTGCCTCAACTCGATTTTTCCATCCAAAAATTACCAACGCCAATGAAATTACTTGGTTGTACGGCGTGGATGTGACGCAGACTCAACAATGTCCAATCCATTTCCAGGTCAACTTTGAGGAGTGAGCTTGTGCTGTAGTTCTAATTTTTGGGACAGAAATATTTAAAGGGTTGGCGACGAAACAGTGACCAACGACCGAAAATACATTACGAGTTGCTTCCATTGCCGGCAGCTAAACCATCATTCTGCGCTGTGCGACCTTCCAGAAGGAAATAAAGCGCTCCTGGAAAGAATCGCCCAGGCAAGGAATGCGAAGGCAGAGAATGCGGAAAGGATAAGGGAGCTAGAGAGAGCGCCAGTTCAACTAGGTCCCGACAAAATGCGCCGGCGGGACTATCGCGGGTGAACGCGATTTTTGTATCTTCATTTTATCTAGTAACTGATTTTGTAGAAGAAGCCGACTGCAGGTGGACGAGGAATTCGCAGCTGTGTTCGCCTATATAATGCACCATAGATCAAACAGTTCAGCTCTTCTCAGTTCGCAAATTCAGATCGGCTCGGCACTATCGCTAGCTCATCGCCTTAGTTTGGTTACGCTAATCACTCTACGCGTCTTGTTCTAATAAATCTGAATTGCGCCTATTTGGTGATATTCATTTATATGACATTTATTCATTTATTGTCATCCGCCTGGCAGCAGTTACATCGAGTGTGAGAAAATCTTTACATCAATATCGTTGAAGAGAATACCACAAGCGAAACACCCGGTATATTTATTATTGTGTATATTCATTCGCTTCGGCATCAGTTGTTATAATAAGAGTTATCGAAAATCGTGACGGAGAACAATCGAATTCTCTGCATTGCACAAGTGCCAATGGATAACCTTACGAATTAGCAACAGGTGTGAAAACCAGCACAACAATTGCTTATCAATGTACAATCAAAATTCGTACAAATCTTTCCGCAAAGCGACATCACATCCTGTAAAAAGTACCGCGTTTGAATTTTGTAGCTTTGCCTGCGGTAGGAGTCATCTGCAAGGGAGTAAGTCGCTTTCGAAGAAGATACGCAGCCACGGCACCAGTGACAATCATCAGTAGATGATACGAGACAATGTACTTGTAGCCGGTCGTTTCGAAGAGTTTCCTAGAACTTTCACTTAAAAACAGCACAAAGTGCTCCACTTTTTGAATATCTTTAAAAGAAGTACACACGTAGCGAATACAGGGACTACGAATTGCGACATGCTGCCGAAGAAGGCGAAAAATCCTTGGATCGTTCCCTAAAAAGATTCCTGTTACAAGTACTTCTTCCCAACCGGCTGTATTTGGACAGTCAAAATGGACAAAAATGAACGGGCAGTGGTCATTGTAAGTTCAACTCTTTAATTGCTACCTACTGCCCCACAATGGAGGTTATTGATGTTCAACGAGCTTCTTTGAAACCGAACCATTTATTCACTTACAATACATCATACTCGAAAAAGCCGCTCCAACAGCGGGTCCCAAACATCCAGTGCCTTTCCCTGATGGAAAGTGAGTTGTGTCCGATGCTCGTGTTATATAACGAGGTGCTCAGTTGGGTAAAGACAAACCCCGGGTTGAAACTAGTGCATAATTTGCTTCATGGTGATGGTTGAGCTGCGTGCAGTGAAATGGAGAGCAAACAATAGCAAAACAGTTGAAAACGCTGAAATTAAAAGCCTAAACCGCGAAAAATTATGGTAAGGTCAGAATGTTGCGACGGAAAGACAGAAGGTAGAACGCGCGAGAGAGCGCGCTGATCTCTACATCGATCGGAGTGGGTGGGGAGCATTGCGATCGTTGCAAGCCCTTAATGATTAGCGCCCTAACCGCGCTGATCAGTGAGGATTTGCAACAGGTGCGGGACTTGTGGCTCGTCCGGGCTGGCCTGCGGCCAATTGCGCTGCGATCAGGACGAGACAAGGTTGCAATGGAATTCAACACGTCAAAGATTGCAGATTGCTGATAAACTCTGCATGGTTCTGTGGTTTGAAAAACCTTCCGCATGCGGAACTTTGAATCGAGCGGTGTCGCTGGGAAGATTTTAGGACAAGGAGATGAGAGAGAGTCTTCATAGAAATGACACTACGTAACCAAAGCGATAATTACACTGAAACTAGAATGTTTTTACCGAGATTCAGCTATCCAGTGCCAACCACATATAACTGCTGATCAGGGCGCTCATGCCTTCAGGGGAAGTTTCCAAACAATGCCTACGGTAGGTGACACTTAGAACTTAAACCAGAAGAGGGGAGAAACGTCAGAGCTATTTTCCACATTTTCCCCAGAATACCTTCCCCTCCTTTCGCTCGAATCCATGCCGTAATTGGCTCACTTCACTGAATGTCTCAAACAACCGCTCCCTCCCCCCCCCCCTCCAACCAAGGACATGAGTACTCGTATCGCTGAGATCCTATTCATCTTTTCTCGCTTAAGGTTCCTCACCATCATAGCTATCCTCGAATCTTCTCGTTAGAAAGTAATTCGAGTAGCAGAACCTTGCGGATTTTATCCCTGATCTGCACAGCCATTGGTGTGTTGAATTCCAGCTGAAAAAGCCGCAGAGAGCATTGCTCGTCGGGCTCGTTGCGACCCCCTACCGCGCGATTTATCACGTGTCACCCCTAGCGAGCCAAAAATCCGTCGCTCATTTGCAACCATCGTACAGTCCCCATTTTGTGCGACTAAGCCGATAATTCTTTTCCAGCCAAATTTTACTGCAGCAAGATCAAGGGACACTTCGAATCGTGTCGTATTGCAAGACTCATTTTCTTGGCACCCTTCGATTAGTGAGGGTGATAAATCACCAATTCATTTTTCAATTCATTATTTGTCATTTTAAGTGGTTGGAATCATTGGAATTTCCTGCTAAATTCTGGGAGTTGGTCCATATTCCCTATGTGCGGCGCAGTCGGTGCTGACAGATGGAGACGTTTGTACAGAATGACGTTGCCTCAATCAAGTTAGTTATAAATTTTGTCATTTATTCCAGGCAATAATTCTTGTTCGCAGAGCGTTCATACAGCGTCCCCTCTCTCTCACAACCATAACCTTGATATGACGCAGAGCAGAACATTTGTCAACTTCCCTTGGTTGAAGTGAGGTGGTGACATACGAGAATCACCCGGATTTTTCACAGCGTCAGTGAGACCTCGTGTTAGTTCAATAGAGGAGCGGTAGGGAAATTATTACCCACTCAAGTCCCTTAGCTTATAGCAAAGGCAAAACCGCTGTCGAACTTCCGTAAAAGGAAAACCCTAGCAAAAGAGACGCAGGAGTTGTTGAAGTGTCAGCTCACGCTAGAATTTGTCGGGGTGGCTTCATAACGAACAAGTTTCTCAAGGATGCTACAGGATGATTCTGGGAAGAACCCTGATTACTATCCGACCGAGATAAGCGCCGTATCGTGAGAAAATAATACGACTTTATCCAGACGGGTACGGAAATCAAAACTTCTTCAAAAGTTAGTGTCTCAATGGAAGCAGTTTCACGTGTTTTACAACACGCTCGTGACAGTCCATGTCTGGAGGATAAGAAATACGCTTTCAGTGAGAAGAAATCAGAGAGAAAAACGAGCCATTTTTCTTTGAAAGCTCAGCCAGTTCGAGTGAAGCGGTGGCATTCTTTCATTTGCGACTTTTGATTTGCGTCTTTCTTTCTCTTAACGTTTTTCTTTCTCAGATCGGTTTTCTACTTCGTAGCACACATGTATGGAGAAGAAAATGATCAGGAGGATGGTCAGAGGTTCCAAAATATCACAGATAAAAAAGTGTCCTCACTTCGCTCTACTTAGCAAAACTTTTTGAGAAAAATGGCTCGTTTTCTTCTCTGATTTCTTTTCACTGAAAGCGTATTTTTATCTTCCAGACATGGACTGTCACGAGCGTGTTGTAAAACACGTGAAACTGCTTCCATTGAGACACTAACTTTTGAAGAAGTTTTGATTTCCGTACCGTCTGGATAAAGTCGTATTATTTTCTCACGATACGGCGCTATATCTCGGTCGGATAGTAATCAGGGTTCCTCCCAGTCATATCCTGTAGCATCCTTGAGAAACTTGTTCGTTATGAAGCCACCCCGACAAATTCTAGCGTGAGCTGACACTTCAACAACTCCTGCGTCTCTTTTGCTAGGGTTTTCCTTTTACGGAAGTTCGACAGCGGTTTTGCCTTTGCTATAAGCTAAGGGACTTGAGTGGGTAATAATTTCAAAATTTGATTGGGTAAAAGCAAAATGCAGCAGAGAAACATGTGGTGGAACTATGATTTTGCGTCATAGGCAAGTCGGGTATTTTCGAAAAAATGAGGATAAAAATTTTTTGCTTCTCAAACTGGATTTCCGTGATAATATTCAGATTCGCATTTGCATGTGTCACAATTTGTCTGTAGAGCCCTTTTCAAAAACATCTCCAAATTCTAGTTTCGGAAATTTGTATATGGAACTAAGGTTATGCGTCGCAGTGTAGATTTGTCGCCTGTTCTTAACGAATCATCTTCCGTAGGTCCTGTTTCGATTACGCTTTCGAACCGCATTTGTTACGTCTAGCAATATAAAGCTGCTGGGCGACAGTTTTTTCTGTTATGAGAATTGAATTAATTTAAAAGGAAAGCATGATGTTGAGCAGCAATTATCCACATTTTAAATTCATTCGAAGTGGTTAGGGCGGAAGTGGTGTAGTGACAAGTGGCGCGCTTACCACGCGAGCGGTCCGGGGATCAAATCCTGGGTCGTGAGTCGCCCGGGCCAACCAAGCCTTCCATCCCTCCGGGGTCGGTTAATTGGTACCAGACTTGTCTGGGAGGATAAAAACACTGACTTGTACATCGGGCCGGGCTTCAAAAACAGCATATTGAACTATAGGTTACTATTGCAATAGATACGATATTCGTATGCCACCTGACCGCTGAATAAACTTCTAAGAAAATAAATCACAAATTATTCGGGAATCTACTAGATTCTCCTTCCTCCCGTTGAACCTGAAGATGTAAACATATAAATGACCCAATGGAGGTTCAGGCTATCTCGGGATCCCACTTCCTACGGAAAAGTTAAGGGTAAATGGTCTCTAACAAACTTGCCTTCCCTGAGAGGGATCTGAAGGCCTGGAAAACCACGCGAGTAGCGTCAAGCCCCTTCATTTTGTGTTATCCGCTGAAGGATGCAAATATCCATAAGCACCATCTTTCAAATTTTCGTGGAAGTAGAATGCGCGGCTCGTTTCGCATCCACTCTGTCCTCTCCATTCCGAAGGACGGGATTCCGAGGGACGGTGCACCGAAGGTTCAAACCCGTGTGTGACGCGACTTTTGCAAGCAACGTGGTGGATGCTCACCACTTCGCCTATGGCAAATTGCCATTGGCTCAATGGGGACGTTCCACGCTGCCGCTGGCAAGGTTGCTGAGAAGGTTCTCTATTCTATAATGGGTGTAAATCACCACATTTGATTGCCAGTATAGGGCACTTTACTACCGTCCCAGAACAAGTGGAAAACCGGAAACTAGGAAAATAATGGCCATAAACACGAACGCTGGTATAACAGTTCACCAAATTGGGTTCACTTCACCCAATCGATTCTTTTCACGATCGTAAGAGGGTGAAGAGTGTACGGGACGGAGAGATGACGTGAATGGCTGCGCAGGGGGCGTGCGGGAATTCCTTGTCGGTCCACGGGGATGGGAGGGCAGCCGCAGCAGCAGGCGTTTCTCGATTTTTTCGTGCGTTCTGTTCCTGATGGCCGCCATCGCCCGACCACCATTAGCGCTCTAACCTTGATGTTAACCTCTCGTGCATTCACCGCTGCCATCATTCGATTACGACCCCGTTTTTAGGCTCGAATCGCCTATTGCCTACCTATTGGGGTGAAAGCTATTTGTTCCATTCATAATTGAGTCACTTCTTGTTTTTCATTTCCAAACCATTGATTTTTCAAACGGCTGATTTTCCAAACCATGGATTTGAATC